ACCAATGAAGAAGTCGAAGTCTGCCGCTTCGAATTTTCTTACATTTGCAATGAGGAGATGCAGTTTCTTTATGAGTTCTGCCCTCCCTGTTGTTTTTGCCTTAGTTTCTCCAGGCTTCATGGATTTAAGCCATGTCATAGCTGGCAGAGCCTTATCGATGACCTATTCCCGCTTGATCACTTTTCAGCTGAAGAAAACAGAGGGGTGGAGAGAATTGCCTATGCTAGTTGCTGGCAACTGGAACCCAGGCCTCTGTACTCCCTGTCCATCCAGTGTTCTTTCTCTGGACCACATAGTCTCCCAGACTGAGCTGTGTTTGTATGTGCTTTGGAAAAGGGTGGATGAGAGGATGAGACAATGCCCAGGATTTGAGACTGACTAATCACTTATGTGACCGTGAACAGCGTTAGGCCAAAGAGATCCAGACTCCCATGCACCCTAAGGAGTCAAAGGACATAATACTGTTTTAGCATAGAAATGAGAAGCCTTGAAACACTGCCTGATGTCTGCAAAAGAGCTTCTGACATCCTAAAGGAATTCAGATTTGGAATCAGTGTCCTAAAAAAAAAGTGGCAGGAAAAGGATTTGGAATATTAATTTGTTATTTATTGAATTTACAGAATTAGGTCTGCATCAAATCAACATTTGGAGAGTGTATTTTCTACGATCCTTCAAGTGTATTTTGAGAATACGATCAATAACGGACAGAAGTAATACCAGACAGAAAAATGAATACCTTTCGGCCCTCCTCGTCTGTACCTCACTCCCGTTTAATTAAAGAAGGTAAGACGTGGAAGCCAGATTGGAAAAGTGACTGCCAGGGTCATTTTGTCACTTCAATGACATGACGGAAGTCTTGTAAAACATGCAAATGAATGTAGGCCCACCAAACATCACCTAATGAAGATTAATGTACGTGAACCACCTAAGCAAAGGTCACATACAATGATGGCAAAACACCAAACCAAGCTCTTCTGTGCTAAGGAGCTGCAAAGAGCTGACTGTCATCTGCTTGTGAAGTAAATAGAGTTGAGACCTGGCCATGTGCCTGGTCAGCTCACCCCTGGAGCTCAGCACATCTGGGCCCTGACTTTACAAAGAAAAGCAAGGAACAGTGTAATCTTCATAGTCTTTTGGCCCCAAAGATTCTTCAACCCGTTCCCAATCTGTCAGGGTGCTAATCTGTTTTGAACATTTGGTCCTTCTTTCCAGAATGTCTTCCCAGAGTAACCCAACCCTTCTTCCAAACTGCCAGTACAGCCTGACTGCTGTGCTCCTCTCAGCTGGAATTCTACTGCACACACATCTGGCTGGCTGGCTTGTTTCCCTAGTAATTTAGAAGCTGCTTGAAACAAAATCTGACTTTTAACTTGCATATTGGTCAGTGGTCTGCAAGGCTTTGCCCCGTGAGTATTCATTTTAAAGATGTGGCCTCATAAGTATAATACCTATGAAGAAATGCCAGTATCTACTAGGCAGGAAGTTACTGTGTTCTTTCTAAACACTCCCGAAACTATGGCTGTTATACACATGGAGGTAGTGAGGCTTGTGGGGAACAGAAGGTAAAAGAGAAAAAGATCCTTTATCATTTAAATGGTCCTCAGAAACTAACTTACATGTTCTATTTTTAATCGCTCATGTAACTGTAACCCGTATACACCTAGGCCTGGTCACTCCTGCTTTGAAGCCAGGTGCAGCCAAGGGTAATAGTTAAATCTCATCACTCTGACTCAGAAGACTTTCAAGAATTTACTAGATCTTTGCTGTAATTTGCTTAAAACTTCCTAAAAATCCTCTTTAGTGACCTTTTCTTCTTCTTAATTTTGTGTTGCCGTTGACACCCTCCCTCAAATTTTAGCAGCTAAAGTCTCCATCTAGTTATATGTCAAAGAACACGTTGATGTAACGAAGGGCAGCCATGTAAACGATTTCATTGTGTAGCTTAACGAACATTTATTGAGCACTAGTTGTGTACCATTCACTGTTTTAAGCTTCATGGTGACAAAATAAAGAAGACATAAGACAACCCCTGCCTATTGATGATGAAATGGCAGGGCAGGCAACATCGCTGTCTCCATTTTATAGGAAAGAATCTACACCGAGATTAAGGGAGACTATACAGCAGGTGGTGGTGATGTCTGAACTAGACCAAGGAATGTCTGATTTTTTGCAGATTGAAAAACATGAGGCCAGGTGCGGTGGCTCACACCTGTAATCACAGCACTTTGGAAGGCCAAGGTGGGCACATCACTTGAGGTCAGGAGTTCAAGACCAGCCTGGGCAACATAGTGAAACCCAATCTCTACTGAAAATACAAAAATTAGCCAGGCATGGTGGCAGGTGCTTGTAGTCCCAGCAACTTGGGAGGCTTAGGCATGAGAATCACTTGAACCTTGGAGGTGGAGGCTGCAGTGAGCTGAGGTCACACCACTGCACTCCAGACTGGGCGATAGAGTGCAACTCCATCTCAAAAAGAAAAAAAAAAAAAGAAAGAAAGAAAAAAGAAAAACATGAACTATTTCACAAAAAAAACCCCACAAAACTTACAGTTAGTTAAAATTCATGAACTGTCATAGAAATAATAATCATAATCAACTTGGAGTTTGAAATGATTTTCTATATACCATGTGAGACAGAGCAACAAAGAAGCCATGTCTGCTCGTTTCCATTTGCTACTATAATTTCACAAAGCCTCTGACTCTATGATGATGTGCGGCTCTCTTGAAAGATGTTTTGGAGACAACACACATAGAGCACTCACCTTCCTCCCACCTCACATCTTTTGCCTGAGTCACTACATTTCTTAAAAGATAAGTTACCCTAGTCCTTGCCTTTTCCTGCACATAAGATAACGTCTGACAGAGTTAGTGATTATGCTTCTGTAATCTATAACCAGATGTATTTTTACACCGAAACTTTGAGGTGATTCTACTTTAATATAACTTCTGAGCAAGTTGCATGTGATTTTGCAAGTATAGAACCCCTACCACCAATCTGAGCTGTGGTCTACAATGCTATGCTGAAGTAGGCCTGACAGGACTGCTCTGGAGCTGTAGACGGTAGTCTGTAGTCCTCAGTAAGACTTCTGAACAAAATTAACTTCAACTGTTTCAAAGCTTGATTTTTTTCTTTAGTCAAAAGATATATGTACTTAAATGAGCTTCTCTAGCAGTGCTATCTAATAGAACTTTCTGAATAAATGGAAATAGCCTGTGCCACCCAATGGAGTAGTCACTAGCCACATGCAACTGCTGAGCCCTTGAAATGTGGCTGGTGCAACTGAGAAACTGAATTATTTTATCCGATTTAAACAAATTTACATTTAAATCTTTACATGACTAGTTGCTGCTCTATTAGATGGCATAGCTCTATAACATGCAGATCACGCTAACCTTGGGGACGGCCAAGGACCACAGCTCTATAACATGCAGATCATGCTAACCTTGGGGACGGCCAAGGACCACAGCTCTATAACATACAGATCACGCTAACCTTGGGGACGGCCAAGGTTCACAGCTCTATAACATGCAGATCATGCTAACCTTGGGGACGGCCAAGGACCACAGCTCTATAACATGCAGATCATGCTAACCTTGGGGATGGCCAAGGATCACCTCTTACTGGAGGATAATAAGGGATATTTAACAGATATTTAACATGTTTTAATATTTTGGGGGGTGCAGGTTCAAGTATGGTTGAAAGAGAAACAGGCAAATGTGCTAACAGGCAGCCTCCCATGAAACAAGTGACAGTGACTATCATTCCACATGCTGGTCCCTGGTAGGAGATGGATGATCTATCTGCAGACACAGGCAGTTACTTGCAGTGATAGAGGAAACGAGCTTGTGCTTACAGAAGTCTGTTTCTAAATGAAAGGGTTGGCTATTTTTACCTGTGTAAACCTAGACATATTACTGAATATTAATAAGCTCTGTGGTCTGAAATGAAGTGGTTGAAGATGGGAGAGAAAGGAATATTTTTCTTCCTTTTAATAAGAGACAAGCAAACCTGAAACTCTAAGTCCTTGTCTGTGCACACCAGAAAAACATTTCAGTTCTTAAAACTTCAAGAGTTGGCTCAACAGAGGGCAAGATGTGTTTTCTCTATTATCACTTATTCCCGTAATCCTCTGACTGGCACATTGTAGTATCTAAGAATTTCTCTAATAAAAGCTAATAAAAGGATTTCTAATTCATTCTGCATTCTCACACCACAAGAATATCCAAGCTGCTCGGCGTAACAACATTCCACCTAAGCCAAAGATGCAGATGATGTAATCATAAAAGAGATATTTAAAATGGAAACACTTTCAACAGATCCATTCCACCAGCCCATTTGGACATGATCAAGCAGAGGGCAAACAGAAGCCAACAATCATGAAGCTGTAAGGTCATCATAATCTTCCCTTAATTATTAAAAAAACTATTCTAAACATACAAGAGACAACATAAGGGTAACAGGATATGAGTTTTTAACCGGTTTTAATATGGTGACGTCACTACCTGTTTTCTGTTTTTCTTTGCTTCTTTGCAGTGGAAGGAGTGATTAAACCCATTCTAGGAGGGAGGGAACTTTCTCTGCCCCCGCTCAGTTCCTATCATTCTTCACACCCAGGAGGGAAGGCAAATATTTCTTCTTCCCTTCTAGGAAGTGCATGATGACTAAGCCTCCCTACCCTGGAAAGAGAAGTTAGTTTTTAGTTGTTAGTGATTTGAGCCCTGGATTTCACAGTTAATGAGGATTATTGCACGAAAGAAAATGAACTAATAGAGGGCTTTGAGCCTGAGGGATAGCGGGTCCAGAACTGGCACTCTGGAAAGTACTAAAAGTAGGGGATAATGAGTAAAAGAAAAGGGGTATTACTAGATGGGGAGAACTATCTGGGAAAAGAGGATGAGGCAGAGAAAGTGGATAAAGGGGCACTGAACAGGAAATATAGGGTAAGCAATTGGAAAATAGTCTTGAACATGAGAATCAGAGTTTTCTCAATTTACCACTCAGTGCTCTCACAAGTGAGAATCTGCACGCAAGACCTCAGTGAGGGAGGGACTATTTCTCCATCTGTATTGTGACTTCACTAAATTGACTGCCCAGTAAGCCTAGCAACCCTTCTTGCCACAGAATGTTGTCATGCTATTTGCAGTGGCACTTCATGGGCCATCTTGCTACTACATTCCAAAATAACAAGCCAGAGGGGCTCCCTGGACTCTTCCACAGGTCATAGAGAAGAATCTCTTCAACCGTATGTGGAAAGATTAAATGGCAGAAGTTTACATGTAAGCTGGGATGGAGACCTTTATGTAGAAAGCTCTGTAACATTAAGTATAGTCAACTGCTGATTGCTTCTCTAGTATCTATTCCCATTTCCATCTTTTCCAAACAGATCCCAAATATTTTTAGTATACTACTTCTTTTCTTTGTAGTCCTCGTTACTTAGGGGAAGCTGACCCTGTTCCCAGTTTGGGGGTAGTTTCCTACTGATCCAAGCATGGTTATCCCATCTCCACTGTCAGTGACAGGACTCAGGCTCAAGCCAATTTTCTCATGGTATTCCCTCCTCGTTTCAGCTACTGGTCCAGGGCTGGGGAGTGTGAACTACCTGGGATACTGGCCCAGTTAGACAAAAGAAAAGAACTTTTATTTCAAGATTGGAAGCGATGCAATTGCTCTATCCTGCTGGACATTAAAAAAAAAAAAAAGCATACCTCCTTGACTCCTAATGACAGCTGTCTTATAATCCCATATAACCCCAACAACCTTACAACATCTTATAATCCTCTAAAATTGAGGAGCCAACCTTAAGATGTTCAAAAGTTGTGACAGAGAGAGAGAGATGGAAAATACCTTCACGTCTGAAAACATTGTTGAGTCATGAAATCAGCCATGTCTGCAGCCCACCCTACCTATGGATTTATTCAGTTCCTTGTTTAAATTAATTTTCTTGATGTTTTCTACTACTTGTAACTGAAAACTGGCTTAAAATCGTTATTACGAACACCTAGGAAGTATTTAATAGAAAATTACTTTTCTATTAAAACCCAGAACTTTTAATGATTATCCAGAACGGAAAATCCAGTGTAGACATAAGGAGCTTATTAAGCAGCTCCAGTTCTATCCCTGCATATCTCACACTTCTACACGGGGTTCTCCAAAGTAGACACTGCAGCCACCACCTTATTTGGCCCCAGAGGTGTGTAAATTCCCTTTTAAGGTCAGATGTAGATACAATGAAGCTACAACTTCCAGGACGACTTTGTTACATGCCAGGAGAGAACAACAGGGACGCAAGCAGAGAGTATACCAGTGGATCAAATTTGTCTGACTTTCGAAGTTCTACGTAATTGTTTCATAGCTAGCTGGGGCCTGGGCTTACAGACCTTGTCCTATTCCTTGTCTTAATAGCTGAGATGTTTACCAAAATCGACCCAGCTTCACATGGGACCCTACTCAGGTTTCTAACTTCCTCCGAATTGACCTCAACAGAGAGAGTACCATTTTAAAATCTGTCCCTCTGGAGTTCCCTCTTAGGACTTTGATAAACTTTCATGTAAGATTTCCACTTGAGTTCTAGTCAAGAGAGTCTATATCTGGCTGTGTTTCTCAAAATCTGATTCAAGAACCATCCACAGTAGGATCTCCAGGGATTATCACTTAAAATGCAGATTCCTAGGCCCCAGCCTAAGGATTATGATTCAATAAGTCTTAAGTGTCACCCAGGAATCTACATTTTAGCCAGTTTCTTTGATGACTGTTCCCAAGATAAAAATTTAAAACTCTGTTTTAAGAATAGCTTTAACTTTTCCAAAACGAGCAGTAAAGTTAGCCTGTATGTCATGCTATAATTAAACAAACATACAAATAGAATTCTCCATAAATGTACATATAGTAGTTATTTTGGACTTTTAATTCTGGCTTATAGCTGCAGTTATATAAGCCATTTTCGATATCCTCTTTTTTTTTCTTAAACAATCCAAATATATACTTTTATTTTTAAACCAGAAGAATGAGTACATGACAAAATGTTTGTTCTCTCCTGTGTTTAAAGAATTATAGTGAAAGTCCATATATACATTTCTGTGTAAAATGGGAATATCACAAGAAGCATATGGAAAGATATATCTAAGGCTGAGCATAGAGTTTTGATGGAAATAATTTGGTTTACAGTGAATTGTAAAGAGTACTAGACACATATTAGAAACAGAATGCTAACATATTAGAATGCAAGGGTGTCTAAAAAGCAAAAGAAAAGGCTCACTCCTACCCATAACATAATAAGAAGAGCCCTCCTATGGCAACGTATGTCCCTCACCCATCTAGTCACCACCCACCCACCCATTGTTTTTTGTTTCTACATCACATTCTTTAATTTATTATGTTTCAGGCTGCTATAATTTTACACCATTATGTGGAAGGACATATTTAAGTAGCACATAAATCTACTTCTAAACAGTTTATTTGAATGCCTATAATTGTCACTTAGGTGGAATGCCTCTGCTGTAATGACACCCAGGTCAGAAGAGTTTCACTAGGGTCTCCCAGAAGCAGCTGTCAAATCAAAGAGTTAAGTACTGGTAATTTATTTGATGTCATAACCCAAAGAATCAAGGGTGAGGGAGAGGCGAAGTGAAATAGAGAAGAGAAAAAAGAATAACAGGGAGTGACAAGGAGCCATTTACTTCTGCAGCAACGGGGATCTATCCCACAGGGGACCTTTAGGACACTACATATAACACATCTCAGAGTTTTCCCAGCCAAAGTGTAAGGAACTGGGGTATTTATCCACCAACTGCTTTCATCATTGGTTGAGGGATGCTCCAGGAACACCATCTTTCCAAGCACTTCTGTTGCCCTTCTTGTGTGGTGTTGACTGGCCTGGGTCTCAGGAGCTTGGAGTGGAAAGCCATCAGCATGTAAGGAACTGATGAATGCTGAGAGGATACAGATTGGGCACCAACAGTGTCTGCTTCAGTCTAGCCTTTGCATCACTGAGACTCTTTTCGGGTCCCATGTTAAATGAACACAGCCCTGACACTGATTTTTCAGGAGGTGATTGGTCAGAATTTTTTTTATTGTTTTTATTTTTTTTGAGATGGCATTTTGCTCTTGTTGCCTAGGCTGGAGTGTAATGGTGCAAATCTCAGCTCACCGCAACCTCTGCCTCCCAGGTTCGAGTGATTCTCCTGCCTCAGCCTCCTGAGTAGCTGGGATCACAGGCATGCGCCACCTAATTTCGTATTTTCAGTAGAAATGGTGTTTCTCCATGTTGGTCAGGCTGGTCTCGAACTCCCAACCTCAGGTTATCCACCCGCCTCAGCTTCCCAAAGTGCTGGGATTACAGGCGTGAACCACTGTACCTGGCCCAGAATTTCAAAAGAAGGAAGAAAAAAAAAAAGAAGAAAGACAACAGAAAGTTTAATAGGGTAAAATACAGTCTAGACAGCTGCATCTGAGCTGCAGTTGATACCAAAGTCACCCTTGATAATTATTATCTCCCTCCTCTACTCCTTGTTTGGCAGTCCTGTTAGTCTATGTTATTTGCTTGGTGTGGGATCATAGACTTTCATTCCTGAGGGATCTGAAACCCTCATTACCATGCTCTTATTAAACTACTACTGCTTGAATTGCCTGGTCATAAGGATCACTACGTATGAACTCAGTAAAAAGTGCCCCAGTGAATTTCCTGAGTTCTAGACATCTTCCTGCTGGCATTTTGTTTGAGCAATCCTATTTCTTTACAGTACTCAGGACCAATGGTCACTCCCGCTACAGCAGTTCTTGCCTTTATGTTGATCTATTAGTATGTGGAATCCAAAATGACTAGGTGTAAGTTATATCTTTAGGTAAGAAGATCTCAAAGAGAGGTCTGAAGAGTTCTGGGAGTTCCCAAGACAGTTTTAGGGGGTGACAGAGGTCCACTATTTTCAAGTGCATATCTGCAAGAGACCAACTTTTCTTCACGTGCTTAAACCAAAATAACACATTACAACAGAGTGAATACTGAAGCACATATAAGAATCAATCTCTTATTAAATCAGATGTTAAAAAGATTTGGAAAAATATAAAACAATGGCATTCTCTCATTAAATCTTTTTGTTTTGGAAATAATTCATTTTTCATTAAAATGTGTTATAAAAAACAATAAATATAATGGGTTTACTAAGGTTATTTAAAAAATATATTACTAAATAAATACTACAATTTTTTTTTTTTTAGTTTTAATTACGGATAGGGTATTTAGTGGTGGAGAAAACCCACAAAAATAAAACTCATTGGTCTGCAAAGAGTGTAAAGATTACTGAGAGCAAAATATGTGAGACCTCTGCTTTAGGTTTAATGGCACACTGACGGTATTCCCTAATAATTGCGACCCTTCCCTGTGATGAAAGAAAACGTCACACAAATTAAATTGTATGGAGTTCAATTGAGCAAGAAAAAAAATGGCTCACAAATTAGGCAGCCTTCAGAATCATAGCAGAATCAGAGAGATTCCAGAGATGCCTCGTGATCAGAACAAATTTATAGACAAAAAAAGCAAAGTGACATGCAGAAATCGGAAGTGAGGCACAGAACAGCTGGATTAGTTAAGGTTGGCGTTTGCCTTACCTGAACACGGTTTGAACACTCGGTAGTGTGGCTGGAGTGTCGCCGTTGGGATTGGCCAATACTCAGCTATTGTTACAGGTACATACTCCTAAGTTAGGTTTTCAATCTGGTCTGCCTAATAAGTTAGGTTCCTGTTGGTCCACAAGGACTCAAATATAGAAGTGGGGAGTCCTTCTCAGGCCATATTTAGTTCCCTTTAACACCTGTGAACTAGTACCTCTGCTGCAGCAGAGCCTAAAAGTGCTAAAATGGAAAGTACAAATGTCCAGAGAGGGTCACTGGGAGTGATAGTGAGGGATACCACTTCTTCTACCACATGGTTTACCTTTATTCCTTTGTTTAATTTTTCCTCTTTTGCTCTGCCTATGTCATTTTAAAATTCTTTTACATTTTTTGAGATATAATTGAAGTACACTTCACACATTAAAACTGTATAATTTGATGAGTTTTGACATATTATACACCCTTAAAGTCATCACGAAAATCAAGTAACAAACATCTTCATCACTTCCAAAAATTTTCTTCATGGCTGTTTGTGATCCATTCCTCCATCCACCACTGTCCTCAGGCAACCACTGACCTGTTTGTCACTGTAGATTAGTTGCATTTTTCTATAATTTTATATAAATGTGTTAAAATATTAATTACAAGCCCAAGACTGAGGTAGCTCTGG